CACAGCGCAGATCTCAGTGGATTTACTGAAAAGATACCAGATTCTCTAGTCGTGGAATAATTTATTTCTTCATTATCAACTAAGCTTGACTGAGCCCTTAGGACGTCAGAGACACCCTCTACGTGTTGGCGGTGCCCACAAAGAGGATTTAACCCCCCCCGACCTTGAGGAGCTCACAGTCTACAGAAGACAGTGCACATGGAAAGCAAATGCTGACGATCCAGTCAGCGGTGTACTAAAGGAGCATGGAAACCGCGGCCGCCCCCCGGCTCTGCCGGGACACGGGAGCCGGTCTGGAAGCCAGGGCCCCGCTGGTCCAGCAGAGACCCAGGGCAGGGCCGGGGTGCCGAGCCCGAAGCACAGGAAGGGCAGGTGTTTCTCAGAGGCCAAGGGCAGGGTCAGGAGAGATTGCCGGCACCTCCCCAGCGGGGCGAGGCCAGGTTCTGACTTGCCGGGGACAGTTCTGGTTTACGCCTGGGTAATTAATAGAGCCACCACCTTTAACTGTCAGGAGTGCCCCAGACAGGTGAGAAATGACAAGGCCGCCTGACCTACCCACCGTGCCAGCCAGTCGGGTGTCCGCTCTGGGAGGGTAACTCCAGCAGCCGCGAGGGCAGTTTGTAGAAAGAAGAGAGGCGGTGGCAAGAATTTCTCCACACACAGAAGTGGAATCAGATACCACCTGCCTTGAAGGCGGACTGTGTTCTTAACCGAATTCTAAACACACGCTTGCCTGCGTGTTGATTATAAGAATACCTCTGTCTCCAATTATAATTTTTAAACAGCATCAACGTTGCGTAGATGTTCTGAATGTGCGTTAGTCTTGTAAGGTCTTAATAATTTTCTAAAGTAATATTAGCCAGTTAGCTGCCATCCTGCCTTAAAAAACAAAACACACACAGTATCACAGAGCTGTAAAGGAGGTTCTGAGAATTACTTGGGGGCAGGGGGAGTCTTGAGACTGCTTTGGAGGAAAGGTCTTAGCCATGTAGAGGGGCCCTGGTCGCCCCAGCCTGGGTTAGGTGGTTGCATAGTCTCTTTATAGGAGGTTCCTGCTGCCGGTGATCGCGACATGCCCTTTATTTTACGCCTTTTGAATTGCTTTCCTAGCCTCACAAACAGGTTTTACCAAGCCACCCACACTCGTCAGCTGTCTCTTCCGAAACTAGTGAATGCACCGCTGGGGCGGGCGATGACCTGGCCTGGGGTGTGTCTGAGCCGTGGGGCTCGGTTAATTAGACAGGGAGACGGAGCCCACGCCAGCGGCCTCGTTCGCACTGCCGGGCACTGCCCCCTTACACGGGCTCTGCCGGTAAATGCGCCTGCAGGGGTCCCTCCGGGGCGCCCCCTTCCGGTGCACGGACACCTCCTTCCCAGGGGGCTGCTCGGACTCGATGACCGAGCACGATGGCAGCCGGAGACCCCACGGTGACCGGTCACCTGGGAGGGCCCGGAGCCCAAGCTGCTGGCGGGTTGAGCTTGTGGATGTGTGACGACCTCCGTGTTCCTCGTCAGCCCTCGCCAGCGCGTTGAGGCCGACGCCTGCTCGTGGGTTGTGGGACCTGGCATGGGTGCACGTGTCGCGGGCGCTCGTGATGGTGGCTCACGTGATTACGTTGTCATTACAGTTATTACAGAATCAGTTCTGTCCCATCGAGTTAGTCGTCCACCGGTGGCCACTCTCCGGCGCAGGCCAGTCCTGGACAGACAGACCGGTGTCCGCAGCCGCGCGCCACGGCGCCCCTGGCCGGGTGAAGAACGGCCCCTCTTGGGGACGGAGGTGGCACGGCCGGTGACCGAGGCTAAGGGCTGGATGGACCCCACGTTCCGAGCTGCTGCTCCCGTGCTCGCGTCTCCAAGGCCGGGCACGGGGAGGCCCCGGCGGGACCCCGGCGGGAGCTACATTGTAAAGCGGATGTTGCCGGGATGCCCGCTGTTGCTACAAAGGAAAACCTTTCTTTATGGAACAGGTTGAGCTCGTGAGAGCGTTTTCTAGATACCGAAACGATTTCTAGTTCTAAGTATCAGGAAGCAGGAAAAGCCGCCCTCAAGCACCATGGACGGTGTTGTGTCGTCGTGAGACCGAGGAGCGTGTTGGCTCTGGAATGACCCCGCATCACCCTCTGAGACAGACAGCAGGACACCGGCCAGCCTCGCGGGGACCCACGTCTGCGCCCGACCCGGGACTCAGCGCGGCTCTGACTCTCCCCGGACGCCTCTGTGAGGGCTGACGCGGAACCGCGTGGGGCCCCTGCGGCCGCTGTCACTTTCCCTCTCGTCTGACAGCTAGCCGCGTGCTTGGTCTGTCTCCCCCGCTGCGCGCAGGCTCCCCGAGAACAGGGACTACGTCAGGCATAGATCTGAGTCACGCCGCGCCCAGCACAGGAAGCGCCCGGGAAATATCAAAGGCGGGAAGGCGGGAGAAAGCGGGGGGTGGGCGGGCGTGTGGAATTCACCCCGGGTTGTACAGCACGGCCGGGTGGCCGCCTCACCGGCACTGCGAGTGCAGGGTGTGGGCTCGGAAAGGAAAGGGCACGCGGGCTGACCGAGATTTTCCTAAGCGACTCTGCAGCTAGCTGATGTCAGCTTCGCATCCAGATTCGCGTGAGTCATTAGAAACCTCAGAGCGAGGTAGGAAAAAAAATCCACCTGCCCGCCGACAGCCCCCCTCTCAGCCTCTTTTGAGCAAATCGTGCAGGGAAAGAATGGAGAGGGGTGGGGGCCCGCGCTCTTGGGCCTGTGCTCCGCTCACGGCCTCCGGGCCAGAGCGAGGACACCACGCGGGTCCCTGGACGCCGCTATTACGTGGTGGGAGGTGCTTCTACAAATGATCTCCTCGTGGTCCACGGGCAGGTTGGAGGCAGCGAACGACTTCCAGGTTCTTACAGATGAAGTTAAGCAAAGAAGATTGTAATCAGGTGTTGACACATCTCACCATCTCGTGCTACTTTTATATTCCCAGGTAGCCTTTAGCCCAGCAAGAATCCTAGGAAACCAAAACGGGAATCAAGGAAGATTTAAAAACCCCACTACATGACGTCAGATACTTAGTAGCTCGTCTTAAACCATACGTAGCAGTTTAAGACTGAACGTCATGTGCGCTGCGGAGGGACGGGGCAGGGGAGGAAGAGCTGCCTCTCTGGCTCCTCCTGCGTAAGGCAGGCCTCATGAGTTAGCTTGAAATGGTTCCCACTGGTGTTCAAATGCACGGGCCGACACACAGACATATGAGCCTCAGAGTGGCCTCATGCTAAACTCATGCATTACAGCAAAGAAAATAGACAAGTCAGCCCAGCCGGCGTGGCTCAGCGGTTGAGCGTCGACCTAGGATCCGGGCGATCGGGGTTCGATTCCCGGTCAGGCACATGCCCGGCTTGCGGGCTCGATCAATGACTCTCTCATCATTGATGTTTCTGTCTCTCTCCTTTCCTCTCTCTGAAATCAATAAAGATATATTTAAAAAAGAAAATAGACAATTCACACACACACACAAAATATACACACACACAAGTGGTTAGTAAACATTTAAAAAACAATTCTATAGATTTTTATTGATTTTTTGCGGGGGGAGAGGGAGAGAGCGAAACATCAATGAGAGAGCAGAACATTGATCAGCTGCCTCCCTCCCACCAGGGATCAAGCCCACAACCCAGGCATGTGCCCTGACTGGGAATCAAACCAGCAAGCTATTGGTGCCCAGGACAACGCCCGGCCAACTGAGCCACACTG